AAAAAAAAAAAAAAAAAAAGTGGAATGAGGCTTGGCATGCCTGTAGTCCCAGCACATTGGGAGGCTGAGGTGGTTGGATCACTTGAACCCAGGAGTTTGAGACCAGACTGGGCAACATGGCAAAACCCTGTCTCCACAAAAAATTTAAAAATTAGCTGGGTGTGGTGGCTCATGCCATAGTCCTAGCTACTTGGGAGGCTGAGGTGGGAGGATCACCTGAGCTTGGGGAGGTTAAGGCTGCAGTGAGCCTGATCATATCACTGCTCCCCAACCTGGGGGGAGAGAGTGAGACCTTGTCTCCTCAAAAAGAAGAACATGTGGAATGAGTTTGTTGTATGGACATTGATAACTGTCAAATTATGTTTGCCTAATAAGAGCAAAAGTGCTACTAATGTTTCTCAGTGATCTCAATCAGTGCTTCTCAGACTCTAATGTGATTAAACCAAGTGCTCCATCATGTGTCCATCTATAGCTTCCATATAGGAAAGTTTATATTATACAACAATTCCATGATCATGGAAAGTTCTACTGACATTGTTGAACTAAATCATTAAAGTCTCAAGGTGAAGGGATGTTACATCTTTTTCTGTAGAGTTTTTTGAAACATGCAATTAAGAGCTTGTTCCATTCCTTTGTAGTCACAAATAAGTATGTACATTGGTATATAAGACATACAAGAGATACAGCAATGAGCAATGTTATATAATGAAAAGATTAGATAAATGGAATTCTTTTGTCCCATTGATTTTTACTGCAGTCCTGGATGTGTTTTCATAATTTGTTCTCTCTTTCTTGATAGGCAATCATTTTTAATAGATCTGTTTTAGTTTCTTTGCCAATCTTTTCCTCTTCTGACCTTTCTGAGCTATACACAAATTATAACTTAATGACTTAATGTATACTAGAGGAAATGCTGTTTAAAGAAGTATTGCAATAATTTAAACTCAGATATATGTATGTATTTGAAGAAGATACACCATACTCCCATCTACCTGTTTCATGAATTTATTTTACTAAAGTGTATTTTTGGTCGGGCACAGTGGCTCATACCTGTAATCCCAGCACTTTGGGAGGCTGAGGCGGGCAGATCACCTGAGGTCAGGGGTTCGAGACCAGCCTGGCCAACATGGTGAAACCCCGTCTCTACTAAAAATACAAAAAATTAGCCGGGTGCAGTGGTGCATGGCTGTGGTTCTAGCTACTCGGGAGGCTGAGTCAGGAGAGTCGCTTGAACCCAGGAGGTGGAGATTCTAGTGAGCCGAGATTGCACCACTGCACTCCAGCCTGGGTGACAAGTGCGAAACTTTGTCTCAAACAACAACAACAACAACAACAAAAACAGTTAAAAAAAAATAATAATGAAGTGTATTCTTTAAGCCTGACCAACCAGTTTCTGTTATCAAAGGATATGGGCATGGGTTTTTGCTGACTGAAAGTTTTATGGCTGATTTCTGTTTCTTTGCATCTGTGGAGTAGAAATACTGACCATTGTCGTGTTTTCTTCCAGGAACTTATGCAAATATTCTCATGAGGTTCTCTCGGAAGAGAACTTCAGAGTCCTGAAAAATCACGAACTCTCTGGACTTAACAAAGAGGAATTAGCAGTGCTCCTCCTCCAAAGTGATCCTTTTTTTATGCCTGAGGTAAGTTGTGATTCCTCAGTTTAAGGAGGGAGAATATTGCTGGCAGTATTGTGTCACAGACATTTTGGAGCAGGAGCAGAGAAAATTCAAAATTAACGCCAGGGTTCTGCAGGTGGCAGTCGAGGCTGTTGCTGAGTGACCTAAGAGATCCCAGAAATTTCTCTCCTATTTGAGGTTTTAAAAGAATGTGAGTCTGGAATACCTCTTCCACTGGGCTGCAAGGGAACCCTGTGTGAGTAAGTATGAGCTGAAGATCTGATAGTAGTCAGACTACTTGATGCTTTAAATCAAGGTGGCTTCTTGGAGGAGATGGACTTTGGAGTGAGGTTGGGAAGATGGCAGGGAAGATGAGGGTAGGCTAAGCTGTTGTAACAGATATCCCCTCAAAACGCAGTGATTCAAATAAAATGTAATTTAGTTTCTCTGTCACTTGATAATCTAGGTCAGGAGTCAGCAATCTATAACCCAGAGGCCAAAGCTGGCCTGCCACCTTTTTTTTTTTTTTTTTTGGGACAGAGTCTTGCTCTGTCATGCAGGCTGGACTGCAGTGGCGTGATCTCAGCTCATTGCAACCTCTGCCTCCCAGGTTTAAGCAATTCTCCTGCCTCAGCCTCCCAAGTAGCAGGGATTACAGGTGCCCACCACCATGCCCGGCTAATTTTTATATTTTAATAGAGATGGGGTTTCACCACGTTGGCCAGGCTGACCTCGAACTCCTGCCCTCAAGTGATCTACACACCTTAGCCTCCCAAAGTTCTGGGATTACAGGTGTGAGCCACTGCACCCAGCCTGTTTTTATAAACAAAGTTTTATTGGAACACAACCGTACCTATTCGTTTATGACTGCTTTCACCCTGCAAGGGTGAGTTGAGTAGTTGCAGCAGAAACAGAATGGCCTAAAAAGCCTAAAATATTTACTATCCGATCCTGTATGGAAAAGGTTTGCCAACTCTTGGTTTTTCCTGGATGTGGATGGGGGTAGCCTGAGTTGTCAGGCAGCTAGACTTGATGATGTCATCAAGGGACTCAGGTCAGTAGGTCAGCTCTGTTATCTTCAAAAATGTGGCTTCCATCTCTGTGTACAGTGAGTCTGTACTCACTGTCACCATTTTCTAGCCAGTGGAAATGTAGAGAGGAAGTAAATGGAAGGCAAGCAGTTTCCTTTTTTAAAAGATGTGACATGGACATTGTTTATGGCACATCTGCTCAATCACATTGGCCAGAGATTATTACATGTCACACTTAGCTGAAAGGGAGTCTGGGAAATGTAGTTTCTGTCTGGGTAACCATGTGTCTACCTAAAACTTGGGAGTTTCTTTTACTATTAACAGTTTCTTCCACTCAGGAATATAGACTTAAGGATCAGAGAATACTGTTTAAAGACTGGTTTCTGGTCCAATAAAATCCATGAATAGAGAAGTTAGCCTCACAGTTAAAGAGAGGCATAGAAACATAATGGGTGAGTGGAAGGGATGGAGAAAATGTAAGTAAAATTGAAATTCATTTGCACTTTTTTTTTTTTTTTTTGAGACAGGATCTTGTTCTGTCACCTGGGCTGGAGTGCAGTAGCATGATCAGGGCTCACTGCAGCCTTGACCTCCTGAGCTCAAGTTATTCTCCTGCCTCAGTCCCCCAAGTATCTGGGACTACAGGCATGCACCACCATAACTGGCTAATTTTTTTTTTTTTAATTTTAGTAGGGACAGGGTCTCACTATGTTGCCCAGGCTGGTCTTGAACTCCTGAGCTCAAGCGATCCTCCTGCCTCAGCCTCTCAAAGTACTAAGATTACAGGCGTGAGCCACTGCACCCAGCTCAGATGCACTTTTATATACAGTGAGATAGCTGTTGGGGACTTCTGGAGGCTTAAACACTTTTTGACTCTGAGCTCAGTGTGTTTCCCTAAGAACTTAAAAAACTTATAACATGAGAAGTGATTTTGAGTTGGCCACTGAGCTCAGGAGAGATATGAGTGCAAGACACATTATAAAGACTTGTTGGGGGTTGGGGGGGAGGAAAATATACCCCATTTTCTCTCCAGCCCCATGCATTCTTCTATCTAGATACTTGGATTTGTTTCTCTGTTTCTCTCTCTCTCTGTCTCTCTCTCCCTCTTTCTCTGTCTTTCTCTCTCTCTGTCTCTCTGTCTCTCTCTCTCTCTCTCCCTCTTTCTCTGTCTCTCTCTGTCTCATTTCCAGGAGTCCAAGGTTTAAAGGTCTTGTCTTGGGATATCTATGGGCCTTGGCCTAGATACTAGCCCAGTTCCCCATCACTACCAGCATGGGAAAAATGCCTTATACATCAGCCCTGTTAAAGCTCCTACTGACGATCAGAGACATCCCATCCTTTTCCTTTCATTGAGGGAATGACAAGATGGAGTCCTGCCATGACACTTGAGAGAAGGTATTTTGTGGTCTATCCTTAGTCTAGTCTTAACCTGGAGGCTTGGAAAGGCCATTCATCATGTCTGATCCCTGCTTCAGTTCTTCAAAAGCATCAGGTACTTTTAACATTGGGCCACACATTTATGTTGAGTCCCTGGAGAATAAGGACACTCTTCCTGTATTAGTCCATTTTCATGCTGGTATGAAGACATACCTGAGACTGGGTAATTTATAAAGAGAAAAGGTTTAATTGCTCACAGTTCCGCATGGCTGGGGAGGCCTCAGGAAACTTACAATCGTGGTGGATGACAAAACAGGAACATCTTACATGGCGGCAAGCAAGAGAAGTGAGTGCTAAGCAAAGGGGGAAGCCCTTCATAAAACCATCACATCTTGTGAGAACTCACTATCATGAGAACAGTAGCATGGGGGTAATTGCCCCCATGATTCAATTGCCTCCCACCAGGTCCCTCCCATGAGATGTGGGGATTATGGGAACTACAATTCAAGATGAGATTTGGGTGGGGACAGAGCCAAACCATATCAGTTCCCTTCTCTAGGGAGGAGGTCGGCAGACATGAACCTAAGAGAAGGCGCTGTTGTGTTAAGGGATCCCAGAAGAGCCGTTCTGACCACAGTTCTGTGAGGGTCCCTCTAAGAAAATGCTCTCATCATGCTTTCATCAAACGGTGCAAAGAAGAGGTCAGCGTCACCCAAGGCTCCCTTTCCATTGTTAGAATTCAGTACCCACAATTAGAGGGTGGGGTGGGGTGGGGTGGGGAGGTTCTTACCTGAAGCTTATTTTTAGCTAATAATTTAATTGCCATTTTCCACTTGTGAGAGTTAAGATTCTGGACTGGGGGACTGCATTATTTCCTGAACTAGAGATCTGAGGAGCTGGTTTCTGGAGTTAGCATGAATTAGTATTGTTGGCATAAGTTTTGCTCAAGAATGCTGGGCAAGAGAAGGCTCTAAAGGAGTGTTTTAACTTGGGGCAGTAGCATGGAATTTTTTCATAGGGCTTTAGCAGGAGGAGTCAGTCAGAGTTCAGCTAATTTCAAGAAGAGTTGGTCCAGGATGGCTCTCTAAAAATGGAGGAATTATCCCTGCAGATTTGCAGCTGTTGTTTTGGGCAATTTGGATTTTTTTTTTTTTTTTTTTCTTTTTTGAGATGGAGTCTCACTTTGCCTCCCAGGCTGGAGTGCAGTGGTGCAATCTCAGTTCACTGCCACCTCCGTCTCTTGGGTTCAAGCGATTCTCCTGCCTCAGCTTCCTAAGTAGCTGGGATTACAGACGTGCACCACCACACCCGGATAATTTTTTGTATTTTTGGTATAGACAGGGTTTTACCATGTTGGTCAGCCTGGTCTCAAACTCCTGACCTCAGGTGATCTTCCCACCTCAGCCTCCCAAAATGCTGGGATTACAGGTGTGAGTCACCATGCCCAGCCTGAACCACCAAACCTGACTGATTTGGATTTTATCAGAAGGGATGAGGAGGAAGAGAGGGGCTAAGTGCAAGAGGCAGTGCAGAGAAACAGCTTTGTGGTTTAGGGGGTGTGAGATGGGGACCACAGTGGAATGTTTCCAGTCACTTCATTGGTTGTTTTGCATTTGTTCAACTAATATTTAAGAGCACGTGCAAGTGTTAGTCACAGTGTTAAAATACTGGAGGTAACCAGTGGGAAGCCACACACTCATCCCTAAAAAAGTACATATTCAGGCCGGGC